CTTGAAATCTGATTCGTAGTTTAGGCAATATGCGCCACAGTTGCGCCACAAACCTGGCACACATTTCAGACGTGCGTTAAATTCTATTTTACCCGATGTAAACAAAACCAGCGATTGGCTGGGAATACCCGTCATCTATCCGGATCAGTCCGACGGGTCACCCGCGGGTCAACGGGTACAATCACTATCAAGAAATTTATGACAATAATGCTACAATTTATAATAGGACAGTCATGATTAGTGTCTCAAATCTCATCCTAATTTGAAATTCAATCTATCAAGGATGCAATTATTATTGCTCAACCAGATGACAAATATTTTATTAAAACACAATGAAAAGCATATGGGAATCTACTCACTATCATTACAGGCCCAACCTACTATAGCTGAAAATATTACACCTCCAAAGCAAATGCTATTTGAATTAACCGGCTATAAACCCACTCTTAACGTATTGAAACTAATACGCTTAAACAGAACTATCTTATAATCTCTAATCAAACTATAATGTCTAAGCATACGGGAAACAGTTTGTTGAGGAGAGATCCATGTAGCTTCAAAGAGAATCTTTTATATAGTCACTCATGAAGTGATAAAGTTCAAATGGCTTTTGCAACTGTGAAGCCCAAAACCTATCTTACAAAGGTCTTTGTATTGCTACTATATTGGTGATGCCTAATTACCACCAAACGAGGTTCTTGCACCACTACTGCAACTGCAGGGTCTAATTATTACCAGGAAAGGTTCTTACACTGCTATTTCAACCGCCAAGCTTGACGTTGCTTACCATTACCATTAAACCAAGTATCAATTATCACCTTAGCTGCCGAGTCATTTCAAAATGAGTGAAAACTGACCTCTCACTACTGAACAGCCACTTTAAATACACTGATTATCAAAAACAGTTTCTTTGTCATTTTGTTCACTACACTACAATTTTATTGGTTTTTTTAGAAAATTTGCACACAAGTTTATCATACGTACGTACGTATGTCTGAAGCCGTGTCTAATTATATATTGATCTAAATATTGCATAAATAATTATATTATTACAGTATTATCGTTATAAATGCATCAAAAAGGTAACCCCTAACCGGACATGGCTTTAGCAATCCACCCAATTTTAGACACTGTCACAAATCAGGTGATGAAGTTGCATGTGAAAAATCAAATCTGTACTCACGCCCTTACACTATGTAATATAACACCCAATCAATTGCTAATGCTAATACTTCCATAGCTCATATGCTTCCTGAAATATAATACAAACAATTGTTACATTCAAATCTTTACAATGTAAAGCTAATATAGATACGTAGCGATAACGATAATTAATAGGCGGACGAAAATCAATACAAAAATCTTTGTATATAAATCCATAAATAGAATAAAGATCTCTAAGTCCACGGTGTAGTTGATTTCGAATTATATCGTATAAATTATTCAGACCAAAATGAAAAGAAAAATTTACCAATTTTCATCCATGGACAATAATAAGGCGGATCATTATTGGTTTTTTTTCAAAACGAGTAAGTCTAGACAACCCGTGCATAAAACTGATTTACATTACATACGCACGTACGTACGTACATATCGAATATTAAAATAGAGGATTACTGAAATAAATTTGTAATTATATACAGCCGTTCGTATAGACGTAAAACATTCACTAAAGTATGGTTAGCAAAACTTATAGCATTTGATTTATAAGTAATCTTTTTAATAGTTAAGTTATGGTGAGTTCTAATATATCTTTTATTTTTCATGTTAGGGTTAATATATGTTACCTCTTTCAAGCATTTCTTTCACAATTTATACATATTATACTACTGTATATTAATTTCTATCATATATCGATATACACACAATAATTACACATATTATTATATATCTGATATATAATCAAGTTCTACTTATTCTTAATTTATACTACATAGTTACTAACATGTGAAGATGTAACATGTGAAGATCTCGATATGAGTGTCGTTAAAAGAAAACCCGAAATTTAAATATAACGATAAGTCATATTTAAATTTTCGGGTTTTCTTTTAGCAACACTCATATGCATTCACACCCATGCTTCGTCACATTCAACATCCAATTAAACTTAAGATTTTCAGACGCACACCATTAATTCGCATTATAACCATACACTACGTGAAATTTCAATATCACTCCGTTCCTGGCAAAAAACTTTCGTGTAACGTTTATCTTAAAAAGGCCCAAGAAATTAAATTAGCCGATATTTACTTTATACGTATATTCATTAAATAGAGTCGATATAAGTATAGGCAATAAGAGGTCAACTAAATATATAAATAGTTTCAGAATACATCTGTTAGAAAAGCAATTCCTGCAACTTCGAAATAATAAAAGTTAATGTATTTTCATACACGAAATAACTCTAATTAATAACCTGTTTATGCGATTGTGTTTTCATATACATTTTACCCATTTTACCCTTTTGTCACTTCAAATTACTTAGCTTATCCTAACGCAATAAACCTATAATCTTACTTAAACACGGCATTTGTTATCAACTGTCTAACGTATCCATTGCTAAAGTTAATTAGTTGTATAGGGTAGTTCTGGTGTAATAGTATAAAGTTATCTCGACACTACTTCACCTTCTTTTACTCAAAATATTTAAAATCAAGCATTTTTCTGGCATTCATCACTCCATCTCTATCACCATTATTATGATTTTTTGAATATCGTTAATAATGAGATATACTTACACTTTTATAAATTTATCTTTATTGCTATTTATTTTTACATTACGGTGTTATTCGAGAGATTATCAACATCCTTTGGCAGAATTATGGGATGTGGATGATAATGAAGTACCCAAAAGATTAGAAATCGAGAAGAAATTAATAACTGCGGATGAAATCTTAAAAGAATTATTAGATAGATATAGCAAAAGCTTTGGAGGATCTTTCGTAAGTTTAACAAAGCAAAAAATAATTATCAATACAATAGATAAAAGTAAGATTAGATATATAAAAGATTCACCTCAAATGAGAAATTATGAAAGGTTTTTATTATTCCAAGCAGCAAACAAATCTCTACAAGAATTAAAGTTCTCATTTGATCAGATAAAAAAACTAGCTGTTGAATATAGAACAAATAACAGTGAATTACATATGCTTTTTTACACTGATATAATAATTAATAATAACGTTGTAGTTTTACGAAATTATAACCTTAGTAAAGAATTTATAAACTCTATCAAAGAATATGGCCCGCGTTTATTTTATCCAAAGAAATTACACGAGTCACGTAGTCTAGTTATTTCTAAACGCCAAAATAAAGGTACCATACGTGAAAAAGTCTTAAGTGGAGGTGGTATATATAATAAAGTCGAGAAATTTTTTTGTTCAGTAGGCCCTTGGGTAAAAAGTGCAACAGATGAAGATTATATTGTAACTTCGGGACATTGTTTTGAAGAATCTAAATTTTATTATTATCCATGGAATACGCAACCGAATGATAATTTAAAAAAAATTGGAAAATTTGCATTTCATAGTAAAGAACCATATGATTTTGGTTTAATCAAAGTAACAGGTGATAAGATTAAACTATCAGCAAATTTAGTTCTGAATACAGATTATAAACAATACTCAGAATTATTTATAAATGGCTACACGAGTATATCTAGCCATGGTATTCATTTATGTAAATCTGGTCGCGCTAAGCGTCTTTCTTGTGGGAATACAAGAGCGTTCAATGGTATTGCTATTAGTGCAACGTCTTTTTTAACGGATTTGATCATTACAAGCATAAAATCAGAAAATGGTGATAGCGGAGGACCTGTATTTTATTTTTCGCAAGAGTTGAACTCAGTGAATTTAGTTGGCATACACGCTGGAAGTGATAAAAGTGGATCTACTAAAGCGGCTTATACTCTGCCAATAGAATTCATTCTCAAGAATAGTCCATTTGAAATACATCTTGTCAATATAACTGAACAATAAAAACATGTTCTTAGGTACGTTGTAACGAGGAGATGCGTGTTACGAAAAAACAAAATCATAAATCAAATTACTATATTTCTCTTTCGTAACGTCTGTTATTAGTAATTTCCGGAGCAGAGCGGAGGAACTTAAGGCCAGACAATAGATGAGAAAAAAATTCCGGTGGGTTACGAGTGTAGGACAAGAGCATAAGCACGATCAGTATTGAAATTGTCAATTAGTAGTATATAAATATCGCACTTTATATTTACCGTTACCTAGAAGCATATGATATATCGCACTTTAAATTTATCGTTACTTAGAAGTATATGACGTATCGCACTTTAAATTTAAGTGTTATATATGAGTGCCGCCAAGGGAAAATGTCCCTCTGTAAATTATAATATATTATTTGATTATTATCTGATTCAGCCCTTCTGATCAATAACACATCGGACTTTTAATTATATGACATATAGGATAAAAAAT